TCCTTTTTTTTTATTCTAAATCGAAAAGTCATACATCTTAAACACAATTAGGTGTTCTACGTAGGCTTTCTTTATCAAGTGTTCTTCTCACGCTAAACAATTGAGATATGTTATATTGGCGTACATATAATACTAATTTTTTTTTGGTCGAAATATAATACTAATTAAATAGGCCACGATATCCAAACAGCAATTAAAAAAATTAATCAATTAATTAGTAAAATCAAATAAAGAAGATAGATGGCTTATTAAGTTGGTAAATATCCCCTACGCCCAACTCAATTATTTATTTATTTATTTAATTGGGTCAAAAGCAAAAATATTGACCATGTGATTTTGAAGAATAAAGAAATCTCGTGGACTCGAGCGTGATAAGAGATATTTATATTTATTGGCACGAGAAAGCATCGCATCGAAGAGAGGGCACGTGATTGGCCAGCTTTCTTTAACAAAAACAAAATGATATTATAAAAAAATAAAAAAAAAAACACACCGCGTCTCAGCCGTCGCCGTCGGTCCCCACAACCCGATCTCCTCAACACGGCGGGGTCACCGGCGACCAGTCCCCGCCCTCCTTTATGTCAACGTCCGTATCTTATTGTTTGATTTAGTTCTATATTACGGATAGGCAAATAAAATGAAATATAAAGGATTGCGATGCTCTATTTTTTGTTTCTAGGGTTTTATAGGTTTAGTCAATTTCTCGATTCGGAGCCCGATACATCACCAAGAGAAAGAGTCTGAATTTCAGCCCGTGAGCATATTCAACTAGAGTTATCTTCACACGGTAACCTAAGCCGATAAGTTAGGAATTAACTATAATGTATTAATCGTTCCATCTTCCATCAATTATCTAAATAAACTTCTTAAAGAATGCTTTACTTTTTCTCTGTCTATTTGTGTAAAGCAAATGTGCATGCACTTCCTAAAAGAAGGGGGACAGTGGGTGTGCCTAGTGCTATTAGACTATTAGTACGAGCCCCATCTAAAAAAAAATTTCAATATAAATGGTTTAGTGTCGAGCACGCAATAGATATGCAATGAGGAAAAAAGATTAGGAGATATATATATATATATATATATATATATATATATATATATATAAAAAATAGAAAAAGGTTAGCTATTTGTTTAGTCGAAAAATGGGTGGGGATGGTTATTTTTTGCTTAGAGCAAGTGGGTGTTTGAGTAATGGATTGAATATAATTGTTATTTTTGTTATTGTTTTGTGAAGAGAAGTTTTGGAAGGGATAGAAGTAAAGACCAAATGGTGTTTATTTTTTTTACTTAGATTTAAAGATTAGATGGAAAAATATGGCTACAGATTAGATAGCAGGTCCAGCGTGCGCTACACGCACCATATAACATTAGATTGCGCTGGCAATGTCCACTTAGAAATTTCATACCGAGTTTTGGAAAACTTACATTTGCAAGAATCTCACGTCCAATGTTGATGGGTGGATTTCAACTGGCGGGAGTTCGCAAAACCGGAAGGACAACGGCACACTTATAAACAGGACCGGAAGCTAGACTTGATTTGGGATGCTAATTATAGGTTTTCAAAACTTAACGTGTAAATTAACGCGATGATAAAATGTGAGTTGGTTTTTTTTTTCTGCACATTCCCCTCATAAACTTAAATATCGTAACCTAATTTTGAGTTTTGAGGTACTTTGGATTGAGAGGCCAAAAGAGAATCCTCTCTCCATTAGCGACCTTTGAACGGTCAGAAAAGTGCTTGTATAAAAAATAGGGTTAATATCACAAAAAAAAAAACCCTAAACTGATATATCTGTAACAAATTTACCCCGAACTAATTTTTTGATCACAAAAACCCCTAACTGGTACATCGTGATAAATTTACCCTCCGTTAATTTCCGTTAAATTTTACCTTCAAATTTCTGAATTGAATGATACGTGGCAGTTGATAGGTGTACCAGTTTGGGGTTTAACCCTCCATTTGTCACAAGTATAACAGTTTGTGATTTTTCGCGATATTAATTCAATTTAACGAAGGGTAAATTTTTCACAAATGCACCACTTTGGGATTTTTTATGGTCAAAAAATTAGTTTTAGGTAAATTTGTTGCAGGTATACTAGGTTAGGATTTTTCATGATATTAATCCTTAAAAATAAGGCTAGTTTTAATCTCTTACTCCATGAAAATTAGTAGCAAAATAAGGCTAGTTTTAATCTTTTACTCCACGAGAATTAGTCAAGAGAAAAGTTCGATCACTTCGATAATAAAGGGAACATGTGTATATACCGAGTTCAAAAGGCGAAACATTCTTAAATATATTAGGAGCAAATATCCAAAGAGCGCTACACGCATCGTCAACTACTGAACTGTCCATAACAAATCATACGCGCTAATTATTACACATCACATCGGTTGATACGACTTAATAAAGTACTTAATTTTCATCTTTCTCCCGGACTCCTCCGATGCACCATGAATGCTTTTCGGGAGTGAGAATCTTTCACTTCCTGTGAAGCTCCTTTTTGTCTCGATAAATCTCAATACTCGATTTATCGAAATGAGACTTCGATCGAATGTCGAGATTTACGGAGACGTCAAGTAGAGCGATAGAGAGTGATCTCCCTATGTTTTTTTCCCGAGACCGTGGCATTACATTCACAAGGAATTGGTGGTTGGCACGAGAAATGGCCAATTGCTTGCTTTATCGAGTGGGACATTCAATTGCTTGTTCTGTGTTCTGCACAATAATTGCCGAAAAATATATGCCACGGATTAAAATAATGAGGAAAATATTGGTTATTTATATTATGCATAAGATAAATATAATATATGATAGATGATATATATAATACAGATCCCACTTATCTCGACGGGTTCAACGATTATGTTCGGGTTCTTCGTGTCGATTTTTGGATGAATTTTTTTATGAACGTTGTTGTGTATGTTGAAAATCTCACATAGCTCGACAATGGCGATTTATATTCTCTTCATAAAGTTGTGGTCTCCTTCCACATCTAATACTATATCAGTGCCAGCTTTTGCCCCTTTGTTAGTCAAGTTTTTGAGTTGGACTTTTTAATAGTCATAATCAAACAAAATGTGGAACTTGTATATTTGTAACAAATTTATCATCCATTAATTTCCGTTAAATCGAATTAACACCACGAAAAATTACAAACCGTTAACGGAAGGTAAAACCTCAAACTAATATACTCGTAAAATTTAGCAAAAACTAACGGAGGGTAAATTTATCACGAGTGCACCAGTTTTGAGGTTTTGGTGGTCAAAAAATTAATATGAGATAAATTTATCATAAATGCACTAGTTTGCGGTTATTCGTGGTATTAACCCCTTGAGGAAACATAGAAGAATTTTTAGGAGATTTTGGTGGGGTTATGAAAATAGTTCGATTTATCCTAAACTTGTTTTTGGAATTTTATCGAATGAGGGGCATGTTTGGAAATTTTCTAAAAGTGAGACAAACCCTCCTTTTATTTTCTCAAATTCCAATAAATGTTTCCCTAATAGAAGGTGAGATTAGGGACTGATCAAATTAATACCCTGCTAATTAACAGCGGAGATGTCTCCAGGTGACAATTTTCCCCCAAGGAAAAGTAAAAGAAGCGGGCAAGCTGTTAAATGTACTGGGCCTAGAATGATATGGGCTTGGGTTGGGCCGGTGGATACGGGCCTTGATCTCCCAAAAAAAAGCCCGCCGGTCCAAAGGCCCTCCTCGGCTTACATAAAACGAAGTAAAAAAAGAGACAGTCGTCGATGATGGAATAACAATTGTTCTCAAATTATGCGTCGAATTCATACCATGCACCTTCGACAGTCAAGTCCACACAAAATGGTCCAGCCCATATAGGCCCTTGAAGGTATGAGCCACGGGCTCGCGGTCAAGCCGTTCGACGTTCAGTTCCGGTCGGATGCCGAGCCCGCTCCGCTCGGCAAACGAAGGGACAAGGAGGAGATGGAGCTGGGGTGCGGGAAATAGAGACGGTATCGAATTTCCCGTGAGAAAGGCGTCAATAGAGAGGTGGGGGGGAGGGTGGGAAACATTACAAATTACTGCGAACTCTTGTTCCCTACCCCCTCAAATTTTCCTCCCCTTCCTCCACCCGCAAATAGCATGTGAGCGGGGTTCGAACGTGTTTCGGCCCGATGGGGTTGGGCCGGCCCGTCTAGCCGAGACCCGATGATCCGGTCCGGCTGATGGCTAATCTCATCTCAATTGATTCAGGGCATCATCCATCAAGAAAAAAGAGGAGAATCTCGATCCGACCCAACTTCCTCTCCAAAACAGATAACATGGATTCGACCGATCTATCATATTTCCAATCACACATTTACAACGCGAGTGGCCGAAATATCTCACGATATAAAATCCCTAGACATACCAATCAATGGTAGCCAAAACCTTATTTTTAAGCCCGTCGAGCGGTGGTCAAACCCTATCCTCCCCACATTGGTAGTCTTCTTGGTAAGGACCGGTGGCCGAACTCTTCCACTGCCCTCCAAGGTTTACTTTTCTTCCAAAGTTGCAAAAAAAAAAGAGAAACAATATATTATTAATTATATGCCATATAAAGCAAAACCAAAAAGTAGCCACCGCCAAATCAAATCACGCCACACATCGCATACCATACATTATACACAAATTTCACTTCCATAAGAGAAAAAAAAAATTGGCCGAAAAAAAAAAATTTCCTTCCTTTTTTTTTTTTTCTTCCCTTCCTTTGTGGGGCTGGGTTTTTCAGTTCAAATTCCATAGTTTTTTTTTTTTACAGACAGTTTTGGAGTTGCAATTATCCTCCGACGACGAGATTTCCACACTCAAAAGTCGCATCTTCCTCCTCGTTGCTTCAACCCCATCTCTCGTCTCTCTTCTCTTTTCTTCTCTCTTCCCCCCAGGATTTCCGACCCTCTGTTCATCGGAAGTCCAAGATTGTCCGCAACCCTCCGTGTCCCTCTCCCCCTCTCTCTCTCTCTCTCTACAAGCCGAAGCTTTCGGAGCCACTTTCTCTCTCTCTCTCTCTCTCTATATATATGCCGCAGCAACAGTGTCGGCCACTGGGAAGAAGGTAGTCGTCTATGCTTCTTGGGAGCCTCCGGTCTAGCGTCGAGGAGGAGGAGGAGCGGGGGGCGACGACGACGACATGGTGTTCAAGGGCAGGTTCTTCTCCTCCAAGAAGTCGGACTCCTCCAGCCCCGACGGATCCAACAGCCCCCGATCCCTCGGATCCAACTCCCCGATCCGATCCGACAAGAGGAAGCCCAAGCCCGCCTCCAAGCTCGACGACTCCGCCACCTCCGCCGCCTCCGCCGCCGCCGCCGCCACTTCTTCCTCCTCCTCCTCCTCCGGGTTCCCCTCCCCGTGTCGTCAAACCCAAGTCAAGGACGGTCAGAAGAAGAAGGATGCCAGGGGCAAGGAGCCCGAGAAGCCGAGCCAGGCTCACGCCCCGCAGAAGCACAACCCGGTGTCTTTCAAGTCGGGCTCGTCGCTCGGGTCCAAGTCCAAGAAAGGGACGGTAGCCGCCGCCGCCGCGGCGGCGGCGACGGCGACGGGGACGAACCCGGTTGAGGAGAAGGAAGCGCCGTCTTCGGTGTCGCCGATATTGGCTTCCTCGTTGGGATTGAATAGGATAAAGACGCGGTCCGGCCCGCTGCCGCAGGAGAGCTTTTTCGGGTTTAGGGGTGAGAAGGGGTCGGGTTTGGGGGCAAGTAATCTCTCCAGGCCGAGTGTAAATGTCGGGGATCGGAGTTCGGGGTCGGCGAATTCGAGTTCCGGTAGTGGTGGTAAGAAGAAGGAAGTGGAGTTTGCTCCTAGCAGAATGGGTGTTCCTCAGGACAATGCGAGGTTTGGAAATTGGGTTGAAAATGGGACCAATTCCGACGGTGTGTCGCCAGGGAGTGTGCTGTCAAGGGATCAGAGCCCCAATTTGCCCGCAGCTTCCAGTTTGGCAAATGCCGAATCATCTTCTGAAGCAGGTATACATTTGGTATAGTTTGTGCTTTTTATTTTAACCCTTCAGTTCTTCATATATGGCATTTGCAACTATATATTAGCTGCTGAACCTAGTTGAAATTCTGGTATGAATTGCCTATATGTCGAATGAGATTCTAAAAGTTCCCAAATCAGTCAAATTGTTGGCCGTTCATGTTCAATGTGCCAATGTGTTTGGAGTCTCGACTAGCGAGCATATGACAAAACAACTTTAGGTGTAGTCTAACTTCTTTGTGAATTGGCCAATGAGTTTTAGGATAACTTAAAGTATGCGCTATGCAGGAGATATTGATACAGAATGGAAGATATGAGTAGCACAGGGTAGTGCATCACGAGGCGGGGTATGATTGCGTATAATACAAGAGAGATATTTTGTACTATGAATGAAGGAAAGGAAGTGAAAATGAAGATGAGATGAGTATAATTGTATGGTCAAGTTGATGAACGAGCCATAACGATAGGGAAGACCATATGATGAGCGCGGATGTGGTTGCCTAAAACTCTTTTATCCACTTTAGGTAAGCTGTTGCGAACAATTAATTGGAAAATTGTAAAGGAAGTGTGTGACAAAAACTGGTTACAGCTAGTGCAATATGAGTTCAGTATATGAAGCTGTAGAGGAGGGCCTTTTTTCTTTTTTCTTTTTTTTTTTTGGGGGGGTGTAGGGGGAGTTGGAAGGGTCAATTTCTGATGCACAAGAGGATGCGTAATCATAATCATGAGACGCGAGAGTTATGCTAGCCTACAAGCTATGTACATTGCCAGACTCAATATTTCTTTCTTAGCCTCATTCTATATCTTAAATTATCTCTATTAGGCCATGTGGATTCATCGTGGGGCCGTGCTGGAGACATAAGAAGTTCAGATGTTTGTACACCGGAGGTACTGTTAAAAGATTCTTATTAATGCTGTACATGCAGTTCCTAATGTTCTGAATCACCATTATTTATGCGTATATCGTGAAAATGGAACATATGCTTATTTATACTAAATATGATTCGGAATAAAGGAATCGGAGTCTCCCCGTTTTCAAGCGATTCTCCGTGTGACAAGTGCACCAAAGAAGCGATTTCCTGGTGATATCAAAAGTTTCTCACATGAGTTGAACTCAAAAGGTGTGCGGCCTTTCCCATTTTGGAAACCTCGTGGCTTGAATAATCTGGAGGTACCGTGATTTAAAGCCTTGCAACTCTCCAGACGATAGAACTTGTTTTTGGATATTCTATCTCGTTCTGATAACTTTGATGCTCTTTACAGGAGATTCTGGTTGTAATCAGAACCAAATTTGACAAGGCCAAGGAAGAAGTCAACTCTGATCTGGCTATCTTTGCTGCTGATTTGGTGGGAATTCTTGAGAAAAATGCTGAAACTCATCCTGAGTGGCAGGAGACCATTGAAGACCTGCTGGTGTTAGCTCGTAGCTGTGCTATGACATCACCTGGAGAGTTTTGGCTTCAGTGTGAAGGAATAGTTCAGGAGCTTGACGACAGGCGCCAAGAACTTCCCATGGGAATACTGAAACAACTTCACACAAGAATGCTTTTCATCCTGACAAGGTGTACTAGGTTGTTGCAGTTCCATAAGGAAAGTGGATTGGCCGAGGATGAGCAGTTCCTGCATCTTCGTCAGTCCAGGGTGCTGCATTCTGCTGACAAGCGATTTTCGCCCAGCATTGGGAGAGATGGTAAGAGTTTGAGTGCAGCAAAGCCCTCAAAAGCACCTTCATCCAGGAAATCTTATAGCCAAGAGCAGCAGCATGGCTTGGAATGGAAGAGAGAACGTCCCATGCAGAGAGATGATGTTCTCTCTCCTCCAGCTAATGACACTCCTAAGAACGAGTCACCTGGAGGTAGGAATCGGATGGCTTCATGGAAAAAACTCCCAACTCCAGCTGGGAAAGCCTTGAAAGAGTCCGTCCCAGCGAAGGAGCATCATGATAGTAAAGTTGAACCTGGAAAAGCGTTCAACAATAGGAGAGGAATGTCCGACGGGGATGTTGCTGTGAAGTCTCCTGAACTCCTTTCTGCCCGAGAGTCTTCTAAGCATCAGCACAAGGCTTCTTGGGGTTACTGGGGAGATCAAGCACATGCTTCTGAGGAAAGCACCATAATCTGTCGTATTTGCGAAGAGGAGGTTCTTACTTCATTTGTAGAAGATCACTCTCGAATTTGTGCAGTTGCTGACCGATGCGATCAGAAGGGTATAAATGTCAATGAGCGTCTTCTCAGGATATCTGAAACTCTTGAAAAGATGATGGAGACCTTTCAGAAGGATGCTCAACATGTTGGCAGTCCAGATGTTGCCAAGGTATCAAATTCAAGTGTCACTGAAGAATCTGACATACCCTCTCCGAAACTCAGTGACTGGTCAAGGAGAGGTTCAGAGGACATGCTTGATTGTTTCCAAGATGTCGATAACTCCATTTTCATGGACGATATGAAGGGTCTACCTTCCATGTCATGTAGAACCCGTTTTGGTCTTAAGTCTGATCAGGGAATGACAACATCGTCCGCTGGAAGTATGACACCTCGGTCTCCAGGATTGACACCAAGAACCAGTCAGATAGACTTGCTCTTGGCAGGGAAGGGTGCTTTCAGTGAGAATGAGGATTTCCCACAGGTATCTTCTTCAGTTCTGTCTTAAAATGCTTGAGCTGCTTTTCTAAGTGATATCCTATTTTGCTTGCAAAACTTGATACATTGGCATGATATATGACTGGAAAGTTGTAAGTTCAGCCTCTGTATTTTGACTTACCTTGTTTGAAAAACAGTGATGATCTTACAGCATTTTCTTTTGGTTTTACTGGAGGAAGTCACAAGCAAAGTTTCAAAAGACACGTTTGATGCATCAATCCTCAATCCTAACCCTAAGCTGCAAAATGGTTCCATAATGCATTGGTCCATCAATTGGCTTAGACCTAAGAGCGAGTAACATGCATTCGATACTTAGTGTCTCTGAAATTACGTGCCTGGATAACTGCATGTTTTACAAGTCAATCATGACAAGTAATATGACATTCATATCAGAATGGGCTAGCTGAGTTTGCATTGTTTATACTAATCCTTTATGATGAGTTTGTTTTATTAGTTGTGTAGTCATGGTAAGTTGAAGTATCTTTTCTACAGATGAACGAGCTGGCTGATATTGCTCGATGTGTAGCAAGCACACCAATGGATGATGAGAGATCGTCACCCTTCTTACTGACCTGTCTTGAAGATTTGAGGATGGTTATCGATCGGCGGAAGTTTGATGCGCTTACAGTGGAGACCTTTGGAACACGGATTGAGAAGTTGATACGGTGCTTAATTTACTAAAAATTTCTTCCTAAATCCAGTACGGTAGTGATATTTTTTATTGGATAACAATTAGTTTGCTTGCTTTGTTTATTATACGAAAAGCATAATGCCTTGATGGAATATTGGACGCGTAATATGCAATTTGATTAATTAGAACTTAGGGTCAACTATCTTTTGTTAAATAATATTCTTGATGCAAAAGTGGTTTTCTCATATTTTGCAGTCTTTGTTCTTTTCGAAGCTAAAATAGAACACACCATTTTAATGATACCTCGGAGCTTATCTGCTCTATCCTTGATTTTGTTTGATACCTTTGAACTCTTGGAATTACCTTGGTATGAAAGAAGACTTGTCACTCTTATGCGACTTTCATCATTGATTCTGATTAGATTTCATCCTCTAGGGAAAAGTATTTACAGCTCTGTGAGCTGGTGGATGATGAAAAGGTCGACATAACAAGTACTGTTATCGATGAAGATGCTCCTTTGGAAGATGATGTGGTCCGTAGCTTGCGAACAAGTCCTGTTCATTCTTCTAAAGATCGAACATCCATCGATGACTTTGAGATCATCAAACCAATTAGCCGTGGTGCTTTTGGACGTGTTTTCTTGGCTAAAAAGCGAACGACTGGTGACCTTTTTGCAATAAAGGTGATGCCTTTTGAATTTGATTTTCATGCTTTGTTTGTTATCCTAAGCAATTGTTGCACCTTTCAATTGTTGCACCTTTTCTCTTTCTATCGAAGAACTAGCTTCGGAAGGGGTTCTTAACTTTTAGATCTTTTTAGAGTTATGCATGTTGACATATAATGATTGTTAAAGTCATAATTATCCCTCTTGATCCATCATTTAGTTAATGAAGGTCCTGTTTTATGAATCATAGTCGGGAAAAGGTATCAGAAAGAAGCGAATTGTTAAAACTTGGCAGAGGATCTCTTTTTATTCTTGATATGATTATATATGGAGGCTTCACCTGTATATTGCTTGTGACTTGCATTATCTGTGTCCTGCTTTGTCCAACAGGTTCTTAAAAAGGCAGATATGATTCGCAAGAATGCTGTTGAAAGTATTCTGGCTGAACGTGATATTTTGATTTCAGTCCGTAATCCTTTTGTGGTGAGCAGGTCTATCTATGAAGCACCTCATTGTCTACATAATACATGGTTTCCTGTATTCATTTGCTTCTGTCTGTCTCAGGTTCGCTTCTTTTATTCGTTCACTTGTCGTGAAAATTTGTATCTTGTGATGGAGTATTTAAATGGAGGAGACCTGTATTCGTTGTTGAGAAATTTAGGCTGCTTAGATGAAGAAGTGGCTCGCGTGTACATAGCAGAAGTGGTAAGTTGCTAGTGTTACTTGGATGTGCTACTGTACCATTTATGATGCAGTCTTAAGAACCATGAACATGTCCATGTAGGTGCTTGCTCTTGAGTATTTACATTCTCTGCGCGTGGTTCATCGTGATTTGAAGCCTGATAATTTGTTGATTGCTCACGATGGTCATATCAAGGTAATCATTGAAGAGACTCTTTTCAGTAGGAACATGAGGATTTAACTAAGTAATTTTTAACATCTCTTTGTGTCTAGTCATTAATTATAAAAATTTCAATGTTGGTTTAGCTGATAGTTAATTTTTACGTACAGTTGACAGACTTTGGGCTTTCTAAAGTTGGTCTCATCAACAGCACTGATGATTTATCGGGTCCAGCAGTTAGCGGCACATCCATGCTTGTAGATGAAGAGCCTGAGCTATCCATGTCTGAGAGTCAGAAAGAAAGGCGGAAGAAACGTTCTGCTGTGGGCACACCCGACTATCTGGCACCAGAAATACTTCTGGGAACAGGACATGGTCTGTATTTGCCATTTGCTTTATTTAAGATGCAATGAATATTGTCCGGTTTTATCGTGTGTTAATTATTTGGCTACTTCATATCTGGAGATGTAAAAATTAACTTGTCCATGATAAGTCTACAATTTGTCATTTGTGTTTCATATTCACTCTATCGATTTTTTTATTGCTGAGGGAAATCGCATGTAACCTCTAGTGTACAGTCATGTTATCACTGATCACGCTCCTGAATGTTGCGTTATGTTATTCCTATATTCACTGATTATAGCAGTAGGGCTAACATTATCACATCTCACTTATTGCATTTCAGGCACGACTGCTGATTGGTGGTCTGTTGGTGTTATATTATTCGAATTGATTGTTGGAATTCCTCCATTCAATGCGGAGCATCCACAGGTTGGTTTCTTGTCTTTTACCTAGTAGTTGAGCATTTTTAGTGTATATTTATTTATTCAAACTAACCATTCTCATTCTTTCAGACAATATTTGATAACATTCTTAATCGTAATATACCTTGGCCTAGAGTGCCTGAAGAAATGAGCGCTGAAGCACAAGACCTAATCGATCGGTTAGTTAACTTCTCTTTTACTTGGGCATTTAGAATCTGTCGATGTTGGATGATTTAATATGACAAATCAATCTTCATGATTCCAGAGAAATTAAATTATCGGGAGAATTTTCTGTTATTACCCCCCAACCATTTTTATCCCCCATTAGCGATCCGTTCTGTCTTGATCTTTGGTAGATTCGTTCTTAAATTTTTTTTTTCGAGACAAAGATTCATTCTTAAATTCAAAAGTAGAAAAAGTGGACGTTTTTAGCAAGATTCTCACAGTGCATAGTTTCTGTGTGTTTTTCTTTATGCCCCTCATCATTTTTGTGAGAAATAAACTTATGAGGGAAGAGAGAATGGAAATGAACACTCTGAACAGATACTCACACTGCCGAAGTTCATATTTTTGCTTCCATGATGATCGGTTAAGATGAAATTATTATGTTAAAACATTAACAATGTGCCTACTCATTTGGTTTTAAAGGTTACTGACCGAAGATCCTCACCAGAGACTTGGAGCTAGTGGAGCATGGGAGGTGATTGTTTTTGCCTTAAATATAATTGGGGGGAATGATCATGTTTGTGAAGTTGATGTTTGGTTATTCAGTGAATTGAAAATTAATCCTACAGGTGAAGCAGCATGTCTTCTTCAAAGATATCAACTGGGACACTCTTGCCAGGCAGAAGGTTTTACTATCAAGTTTACCAATCAAACAATTTCCTAGAATTTAGTTTGTTGATATTTTCTCCATTTTCATATTGACCCATGGCATCTGGACGACTTTGTTTACAGGCGGCATTTGTCCCCTCTTCAGAAAGTGCCCTGGATACGAGCTACTTTACAAGCCGCTACTCGTGGAATACTTCAGATGAGCAATTTTATCCTGACAGCGAATTTGAGGACTTGAGTGACGAGGATAGCTTGAGTGGAAGCAGTTGCCTCAGCAATCGCCAAGAAGAAGTGGTAAAGTTAATCAAGATATTTAGGACTTGTTAATATGATTGTGATATTTTGTGGTGTTTACTGTTTTCTATTAGTATATGACCTTACGTTAGTGGACTTGTTCTGGATAATGATGACATGCAGGGAGATGAATTTGGGGGTCTTGCTGAGTTCGAGTCTGGCTCATCTATCAACTACTCATTCAGCAATTTCTCGTTCAAGGTAATAGCTAAACTAATAAAATGCCATTACATGCTATTGTGCATTTATCCAAAGTTGGATTGAGATATACGAGTGTTGGGTCAAAATTGAGGTTTGTTTTCAGTATGCTTTCTATGTTTTACGATTTCGCTATTATGGCTGCTATTTACTTGTCTTGCGCTTTTGTCCCTCCAATTTTTGCAGAATCTCTCTCAGTTGGCATCGATCAACTATGATTTGCTTTCTAAGGGATGGAAGGATGATCCTCCGCCCAATTCCGGTGCATGATTGCTTATCTTCCCCCACAAAAGCGGGGAGGGAATACTATTGAACTTGGCTTGTGACGAGCTTTGGAGGGCACCGACTGACCTCGTCGCTGTTTATATACCCTGTACATGTATGAATCTGAAAGATCAGCCTTTTCCTTATCTGAGTTTCCTTTTTCAAATTCTCTGTTTTACAAATTTGAATCTTTGTTGAATGTGATCTTTCTTTTGCAGAGATAGAAGAGACATTGATAGAGAAACCGTGCCGGAGATGTGCTCTCTCTGCAGTTAGGTAATGTTTCCACACCGCAGGGTTTCCATTTTTGCCATCGAATTGTTGTGTTGGTAATGATTTTGGGTTGTCAATGTACCTACAACTTACGAGCCTAGGTGTTGGTGTATTTGTGACCCTCCAAAGTGTATCATCTGCAATTTTCCAAAGTTGTCAATGAGAGCACATCTCCCTTTTCTCGAATTCTTAGCGCCCGTCTATTTTATAGGGGCTGTGTGACAATATCTTACAAGGCCTTGGGGATCATCACAAAACACGAGCTACTCTTCTTGAGAATGTATGAGAGCTGTAAGAATATGCTGCGGTGGAAAATGAACTTCATGATGAAATCTAGATCGAAGTCGTACTCGTCTCAATTTTGTTATCTCACGTAAATTTTGCTTATTTTAGTCGTTATGAATCGGAAACGAAGTTCATTCAATAGGTTGGTGCTGTCCTTCACTTGTGTCCGTAGTTTCCTGGTCAGTGGTAAGTTGATCCTTTCTACTTTGATTTGAATTTTAAGCACCACTTCATAAGACAGGAATAGCTATATCTTTCTAAGGATCAAACATGGCGATCTGAGATGTCCCGGTATGTGGAGAGCTAATAATCTTTTCCATCCTAGAGGAAAATACTTCTCCTGTCCCCTGACGATCGTCTCACTTCTAAAGCAATTGACCATCGGTGCAACTTCCATTTTTGTCCGGTGAAGATTTCGTGTTCATCGTGCTTCTCGGGCATGCCAACTCGCGGAGGTGAATAATAGCGGTGATAATTGCCCGTCCCCTCTTTGAGAAGCGCCGAATTATACGTTCATGTTCATGAATTGGATGTGGACCATGAAACTATTCACAAGAGTCTTGAACAGTCGATTTTAACGAGTAATTGGAAAGCATATGTTTCCGCTCCATCATAGATCTAAATATGTTCATATCATATAACTTAATGAACCTTTTTAAGATCCATATCATCTTTTCTCTCCTATGTGAAAGTGAGTCAAATCATAATGACAAATGTCCAAGAAAATCTGCCTGGAGCAAGGTATCTGAGAATGCTATTCAGATAAAGAGAAAATCAGACAGATGATTGGCCCACTAGCCTGGTGTACTGGTTTTCTGTGTGCCCAGATGTTTTTGTATTTATGTGATCAACAAATCTTGTGTTTTTCCCCTCATACAAAACTCTGTTCCATGTTAAAAGGTGGAGATGTGGGGGGGACAGCATCAACCCAGACCCAAGAGACGAGACAAGAAAACCCTTCAAAAAGATTTTAATTAAAAAAATTAGAACACAGAGGTGCAACTTTTTGTTTATTTCCATACCTTATCTGACTCCTTGTTATTGGATCTTATGCAACCAATCTAAAAAAGATAAGTAGAGAGGAACAGAGACAGGTCCCAGAGTTTTTCCGGGGCCTGAATGAAAAACAAAAGCTTGATTATCATATCCACCATGGACCACATGAAATCAGACTGATGATCTTGGCCATGTCTATGGAGCCAAGTTTGTCAACCTTTTTGTTAGGCACCATAAATTCACATCCTTTTTAAAAAGACCCTCAAGTAGCTGCTGGGAATCACACATATGAGGAGAATCCTATACAAACCCACCTGCCGCCACCACCTCCAGCACCAATTTCAAAATTTTAAATTCATCAAAGGAAAGCCTTTTACTTTTTTTTTTCTTTTCTCTTGCAGCAGGTACAAAGATATTCGATTGGTTAGCTGTAAATCAATAATTACATTCTCATAAGGTTCCCGAAGTTAATATTTTATTTTATTTTATAACAATTATGGAGATTTGCCAACCATCGTGACAGAGAAAGCACATGCTGCAATAACTGTACCAACAAGTTGGCTCACTGCAATGTTTGATTAAAGACTAGTGAATTAGCCAAAAAGAAACTTCTCCAAGGAGGCCACAAATTCAACTTTAGACTTCAGGTATATATCTCAATCTGATTTTCAAAAGGTCCAGAAAACTTTAAACAAAGTTTGGTGGATCAATACACTTGAAAACACTATTGCACCAAGCATCCTAAGAAGCAACCGAAACATCTCAATCTGAACAGATGACGAGTTGCATCAAAAGCAAAAGGGGAAAGCAAAAGCAAAAGCATGAGTAATAATTACAAGAAACCATGATCCAACATACTTACCAACAAGAACAAATGTAACTGATATCCACCCCAAAGCATAAATGAAGAGAAGGTGAAAAAAAGTAGCACAATGGGGAATTACAGAAAATGATGAGAGAAAAAAGGGGAGAAGACTATTGCCTCGTAATGACATTAGAAAGAGGCCCAAATTGACATAGAACAGAAAAATAGAGAAGAAAACCCAGATTATGATGCTAAAAGTGGCATAATGTTGCAAGATGATCCTTCGGGAATTTCGCTCGCCAGTCTCGGAAATCAACTCACCGAGATGATGCGTCATCGTTCACTTCATTGACCTGGTCGAGCTGTGGGGCGCGATCTTTCTGTGAGCTAGAATGACACAGCCCTTCAATTTGGCTCCTCACTTCGGACATTGATGGACGCTTATCGGGATATTGGGCGGCACAATCTATCGCGAGCTGCAATAGCTGAACCATCTCCTCCCCGATGTTCTGGTACCTCAGGAGCTCGAGATCGAAGACTTCGGAAGTCCACTCCTCGCGAACAATGGACTGGACCCACCTTGGAAGGTCCACACCTTCCTCGTTGAGGAGAGCGTGAATAGGCGCCTTCCCAGTCAAGAGCTCCAGAAGCAACACCCCGAAGCTATAGACATCGGCCTTTTGGGAAACTCTACGAGGGTCAGTGACTTCTGGTGCTCGGTAGCCGGCAATGTGGTTTGGAGTGGTGGAAGGCCCTACAAGGTGGGCCAGGCCAAAGTCGGACACTCGCGCATCGTATGATGTCGTGAGAAGGATGTTGGAGGATTTGATATTTCCATGGGAGACGTTCGGACCTTGGGAATGTAGGTACTCTATGCCACGGGCAGCTCCAAGGGCGATGGCAGACCTGATTTCCCAGTTCAGCGGAGTCCTTCCTGCTCCTTTGTTTCCTGCAGTAATTTTGCAAACATGAGTTCTACCATATCAATGCAGTTACAGCCGTGAGAAAATGTTAACAGATAGTTATGCATTCGCGATCAACTCCAGGAATGAAAGCTGGCATGAACCAATCATAAGTAGTTTAAAATATGTATAATGGAAGTAATTGAACTTCAATCAGAAGAAAACTGTTGCAAGGAGCTACAATAACAGGAAATTTTAATAACCCGAAGAAAAGCAGAACATAATTGAAACTTCAGGAAGAAATTATCACCATGTAAAAGTGCAGACAAGCTTCCCATAGGCATATAATCATGGACGAGAAGCTTCTCATCATTGCTGTAATAGTATGCCCTCAGAGGAACCAGATTCTGGTGATCCATAGCTCCGACTGCTTCAATCTTCTCCTTGAACTCCTTTGCAGCCACGTTGACATCCTTTAGCCTCTTCACAGCCACCGTGATCCCGGCCTCCAAAACCGCCTTGTAAGCCGTTCCAAAGGTCCCTTTCCCGAGAACTTCCGCCGAAGCCCTCAACAAGTCCTCCAAATCAAACACCTTTGCCGAATTACCGAAGAATATCAGCTTCTTTGCCGCGGTACCAGCACCACCATTTACTTCCCCTTTTCCACTTCCCGCCATGGCCGCAGATGCAGCTACCGCCACGGAGTACCCATTACTGTAACCGCCATTCTCGACCTCCCCGACCGGTTTCTCGCCTGGAATCTCCAATTCCTGGTGCTTGAAGGTCGCGATGTCCACAGATCTAGTCTTCTTGCCACCCTTCTGCCGGCACAGATACATCAACAGTACGACGAGGAATATAAACCCGAACACGCACCCAATTACTATGCCCGCAACCGCTGCCCCAGAAAGCTTCTTTTTCTTTCCTCCTCCGTTGTCAGTACTAGCAGGCGGCACGCCGGCGGGCAGACTAATTTCTTGAGAGCAAGAAGCCAGCGGCTTCCCGCACAGAGAGTTACCCGAAAACGAAGTGTTAGCAAAAGCCCCCAAGCTGTCAGGTATCGACCCGTTTAACAAATTGTCAGAGACATTGAACTGCTCGAGGTTGGGCAGCTTCAGCTCAGCGGGGATCGACCCAGAGAGCTGGTTGTTCTCAAGAAAGAGAGTCCTAAGCCTAGTCAAGTTGCCGAAACCAGCAGGAATCTCCCCAGAGAACTTATTGGACGCGAGATTGAGCCTGACGAGATCACGCAAGCTGAACAGTGACTCAGGGATCGGGCCAGAGAACTGGTTACCTTGCACGTAGAGGTTCCTCAGGTCGGTGCAGGACGCGAGATCTGAGGGGAGCTGGCCGGAGAGCGTGTTGAGCCGGAGCGAGAGAGTGCGGAGCTGGGTCAAGTTACCCAGAATGCCGTCGGGGATTTGGCCGGACAGAGCGACGCCGGGCAAACGGAGGGCGGTGACCCGGTTCGCCTCGCACTGGACCCCCGCCCACGAGCAGGGGCTCTGGAGGTTGGCATTCCAGAGCAAAGTGCGGCCTCCGACGGCGGATCTCAGCGCGAGGAGCGCCGCTCGGTCGGACGCGAGATCTGGCTCCGCGACGGGGACAAGGATGGCCGAGGCCGCGAAGAAGCTCAGCAAGGCAAGAATTCGAAGCTGCATTGTGGGGGATTGTTCTTCCGAGCTGGTGGGTGATCAAGAAACGCAGCTGCAGATGATGGGTCTCCTTGATTTCCCTCTCTGCCGGTGAGCGGGAGGCTATGGTTGGAGTAAATGAGAGTGCAACTGCATAGTTCTGTGGTTGGTCCTTGGAGGGTCTGAGGAGTTTGGGTGAACTGCAATAAAAATAGGATCTTTTTCTTTTGGGTCTTCTTGCTTTTCTCTGGGTTTGTGTGTGGTGCTGTGTGGCGTATTTCTTGGTGAAGAGTGGGAGACTGGAAGAAGAAGGAGCAGGAGAAGGAGAAGAAGAAGGAGAAGAGGGTAGTAGTCCAGGCTGTATGTATGTGGGTTGCTGTCTTGGTGTGTGTATATGTGTGTTAGAGAGAGAGAGAGAGAGAGAGAAGGACGGTGAAGAACAAGAAAGTGAAAAAGAAAAGAAGAAAGAGAAGAAAGGAAACGTGAGGGGAAGGGGGGGATAAAAAAGGCAAAACCCTAGCTGTTGTTGAGTGCAGTGAGGGAGTGAGTGATGGTGCGTGATTTGCTGGTGATTAGTCAACTTGTGCCTTTTCTTTCTCTGCATGTTGCAGCATCTACCTCTTCTCCTTATTTTCCCTGGTTTTTTTTATTTATTATATACACCCATTTTCATTTTCTTTATTCAATCCCCTTTTTATTCTTTGGCCTTTCCAAGATAATGAGTGTAATGATTCTTGGTTAGGGGTGGATATGGCCCCTGAGGGATTTCCATTCCCTTCTTTCCTTTTTGTTGTTCATTATTGCTTTGCCTTTTTTGGTTTTCCTTCTTTTGGTCTGTGCAGTACCATCTTGCAGAATTTTCCCCAGGCATTTTCCCAGGTGGCCGACTGCTGAACACGGAAAAAAGAATGAAATTATGAGATAATAATACGTTGTTTGGTGTCCTAAATACCAGTTAGTACTCGAGAAAATCAATGTGCAGTGCTGACGTCATATTTACCAGATATTTTTCAATTGAGTTTTTTTTGCGAGGATAAATATGAAGTGGGGGAGGGGGAGCCCTCCCCATTTATGGACTGGACACAAAGTACATCGATTTGACAGTAAAACTTATTGTTTAAGAGTACCAACTGCGCATTGATTCAAAGATTTTCAGAGAATTTCAGACATTGAACTGAAAAAATTAATTTTTCTTTTATTTTTTCTTAATTTTTTGCCCCCCTTTTTTTATATTTTTTTTCTTGTGCAATAATAACCATTTCGTGTGCAGCGACATTGGATGTCCTAACGGTTGGAAAATGAGGTTTTTTATTTCTGGTGGTTGAATTTTGAAGTGGAAGCGATCACTGACAAATATTTTTGAAATTTTGTTGGCATTTCGTTAAATGATGTGATTGCGATAGGAGGGAGGAGAAGACAAAAAGGGTTTTTATTTTTATTTTTTGAGGAGAATTTTTGCTTTCATTTCTTCCCCCACATAATAATAATAATAATAATAATAATAATAATAATAAGCTTAATAATTAATCCTGGGAAAATGGTGATTATTTAATTTAGTGATGGGCTCCAGAAGATTGTTTAGTCTTTTCCCAATGGGTCTGTTCAGATGTTAGTTTTCTGTCTTTCATTGTAGATTTTGATTGCTTTTCGTTGCGCGATTTGAGTTTGATTGATCGATCTCTCTGATCGATCAAAAACTGACAAAACTTTTATGCATCTAAATCCGTACATATAAAATGAATTAGTGAGTTGGAGTTCACATAATTACCGGTCGATTCTTGTCGTGTCACTTTGCACGATTTTCAAACTTGATTCAACTTCATGATACCCTTATGAGAAAGTTTCACTTGCAATTGCATAATTTGATGAGGGATTAGCCACACTAGCATAGTCGACTAAAGTGAGGTCAAATCAGTTTGATGAAATTGAGGCTAGAATCTACATCACCAGCTAGGAGCATCACTGTATGGAGTTGGCGTTCTTTAAGGGGTTTTCTCAATTTTTTTCTGCTGTCCAATTTATAATTTCGCAAGCAAGAGCAATAGTTTTCCATCCCTAAAGACCAGCATTAGTGTAGGTAATTCCTTTTATTTTATTGTAATCATTATTCTATAGAAGCCAACGAAAATTATTTCTACTCATAACGTCGGGTTACGATGTGTGCTAAACATCGGATTAAAATCTATCGATGGACAGTGGTCACTAATATAATCGGGCTAACAAATTTGATTTTTTCCACGTACCATGATCCTAATTAAAGGAATAATTTTATTTACTAGTTTCCCAAAGCCAAACACATACGGTTTTCATTGTATTGGATTTTTCGTATGGATTTTATTTATGAGTGTTAGTTCCAAACACTCGTGTATTAAGAAAAAAAGCTTGCGGTAATAACATTTTCCAAAAGGGACGTTGACAACGAAAGAAGTACATGTTTCAATTGGAAAAATTACCCGATCGGTTATATACTTATTGTACGGATATCAATTCGGCCATATTCCAATTTTGCCAATTTAGTGCATACTTCCAATATAGTCATTCCGATTAATTTTCTTCGGAAATCACCGTAGGACGGCAATGGCTGGACTGCCACGTTAGCGATTTTCGATAAAAATTGATATCAAAAACTACATTGAAATTATTCTCAAAATTTAGGACTAAATTAGCAAATTGAAAAGTTTTAAACTGAGTTGGCATCCGTAAAATAGATTTATGATTAATTGGATAATTTATTCTATTTTGATTACGCTATTCACTTTGAATAATATATATTTACATTTCCAAAGCACATTTCTCAATGTACAATATTGTTCCTAAACTTTTAATGTGTTTAATATAGTTCATGAATTTTCGTAAATGTTCAAACTAGTCCCTACTCTATATGAAAATATCCAATGTTATCATTTCCATTGATTTAAGTTCACAGACAACATTGGATATTTTCATATAGTTTAAGGACTAGTTTGAATATGTACCAAAAGTTCATGGACCATATTGAACAAATTAAAAGTTCAAGGAACGCATTACAAATTGAGTCAAAGTTTAAGGATCATTTGTGTCATTTTCCTCACTCTTTAATGTTTTCCTTATTAAACTATGAGTATCATTAACTTAGAGCTCTCGAAACACTTATTAATCATATCCAACAAAGAAATAGATGCATTTTTCAGTACATTGGTCGTGCACAACACGAGAAAGGTGATCTTTTGATAATGACAAAATTTCTTCATCCGAATAATTTACAGAAATCGAGGGTATTCGTTAACAAAATCCTTGAATTATATCAAATTACATATCCTCGATCAAAAAATTTCGAAGTCACTCGTCAACCCATGAAATTCATCCGAAAGGTGTTTTTGAATGTATGGATAGGTATCTCCATCCGTTTTTGTTTTCTAGCTAGCTAGGGACAGAGGATGACGATAACGTTGGGGGTCCTCCTATCTAATCTATAACTTGACCAAAGTGCAATTAAAGAGGATTTTGAAAATAGATACACATCACTAAATGTATGTTCCAAAGTCAAGGAGTGGGTAATGTTCTCACCATTACTTCAGATTAAAACGTCGAATGTTGACTTGTCCTAATTTCGAGGCGTATTTGCATGTTATACACATACGATTCGATGATCTCGTGGAATTTTTTGAAAATGCATAAGACTTGTATCGTATGATTCGCAGTTCGGCTTTTCCTTTTAGGCCGGAATATAGCCGGAGTCGAAAATTATGTTCGTCGGCTTTCGATGCTGATGAAAACTAAGCCGACGGAAGTATTACGCATTTGCTTACAAATTACGCTCCCGAAAATAATGATTTGTAGAAAATATAATGGAGAATAGGAAGACAAAAAAGTAATAATATAGGCCGACAAAAATCAAGGAAAAATGAAATAAAAATCAAGAGACACACAAAATAATTTAAAAGAAGAGAAGAGTTGGGACATTCGCTGCATTAGGCCATGCTCTGTTGGGGCCACTCCCAGCAACCATGTCCCTTTCCATCTCACATGCATACCCCATTCGAGATTCATTCCTTTTTACCATCTATTTTCTGGAAAAATTAAAATAAAAAAAGAAAGAAGAAGAAGAAGAAAGAAACTACGGAATCAAAGTAGCGAAGAAGAAAAAGGAAAATTTATTTATCGCAAATATTCGGATAATTTATTGACCACTTGCTTCAAATGATACGGGCGATAATTTTTACGAAAGTAATATTCACATCGTTCGCTTTAACACGGAACAAAACGGAATCTGAGTGAATGCCCATTTCCCGAGCAATTGAATAGTTTTTTTTTTTATTGATATCGATGTAAGGAATTGAAAAATATTATGTGGAGACAGCTTAAAAGCTGAAGACGTTGATTCTTTGGAGTCGAGGCTATAGGCTGTGTTAGCAATCATTGCAACCAAAGTCCATACCCAGAAAACCCCCTCCTCCTCTTTCGCCAGCGAGTTGACGAGGGACCTCCTAACCTACACCTTCCCTGTTAAACTAATCATGCGCGCGCGATGTCGTACAATCGTTTGATTAGATTAGCAAAGAGAAGCTCAATTCGAAACAAATCAGACTACCTAAGCTGAATAATTTAAACTCAGAATTAGCTGGTGCTTGCTAGAAGCTTTATAATATCATGAGAATATTGCAAGTTTTCACTTATCGCCCATCTCACTGTCGGCTCACACGCTAGCCAATCGCCACGATCGAGCCACATATGATCCAGTGCATTGTTTTCCCTTTCATTTCGGGCCTTTCTAGCAGTGAGATGGGGTTGGAGCCGGCACCGGCTTATCATTGGGGTCCGACTTGAATGATATGGAGATTGATGCTGCATCACGTTGACCCACCTTTCTCACCTATTCATCAACAGCTAATATCTACGATTTTTCTCTCTAATTCATGCAATGATTCACAAGCATAATTGACGACGACAACATAAGGAATTGGATTCTGTTCGTGTCTTTGCTTAAAACCCCCAAGGTTAGCTGAGGGTAGATTAGACGCACGCTTTTCTTGCTAGTCACTTCACGCCTATGGCAACTTCCTAGGCGTAGAGCGAGGATTGGTAAGAACTATGCACAAAACGTGCAGAGTATCACCAAACCTAGAGGACAAGGGTGTTCCTACACTCCCTTTCTTCTTCTGGTTCAAAGGATTGCTTTACAAGGAAAGAAACCTGTTGGTCAGAAGGAAAATCACACAGGTGAAAAGAACAGCGACAGTAAAACCCCCATGTGTCCAACTGCACATCAATCTCAATTCGAAAAGGACCGAAAACTGATGGAGGTGGTCAGCATTAATAGCTTGAAATGCTTGTTGGGTTGGTGCTGCAATAGACCAGATATATTCTAGATGGTAGATACATGAGCTGTGACTGCTATTAAACATGGTGAGAAAATTCAGATAATAACACGACTCAGGAAATGCAACAGTCAATTGAGGTCACCTAATTTATTGAACATACCCATGACAAGAGTAACAAAAAGCCAATCCATGGGGATATCACAGTTATGGTGTTGCAAAAGAGTACTAAGAATCAAGAAGCGAATCCAAATTCTTTTCCAGGGAAAAAGACTGAATTAAAATTGCCAAAAAAGACGAAGAGGAGAAGAATGAACTAATAACTACTGATGATTGGGATATCTTCCCCGGCGTAATTAATCCACGTGTACCCACCGCGCATGGATAACCAATTTCCCACTTTTCCATGATAGGTAAAAGTATTTAGGGAAAACGAAAAATGTAAACTATGTACTTCCTGGAAAAATCCTTTTGATGCTGCTATCCTCTGATTCTGCTGCTGTCACAGCGGGTTCTGTTTCTTTTTTGCGATAACAAGCAGCAATCAGATTTCCCTAGACAAGTGAATATAAAAGTTACTATTAGAGCTAAGGACACTGAAATCATGAATGAGGGATCTGGCTTGTTAGACGGCAATGCTGCTGATATGTCCAAACTAACTGACGCGAACCGCTCTCGAGACTGCCTCTGCCTGCATGTGAAATAATAATCAAGCGGAAATTTGACCAAACTAACATTCCAATAGTTGTTTTAGACGAAATATTAAAATACCCTTGATGAGGATTGGGGATTGTAGTGGAACTTGATAAGGAAAACGAGAAAATTCATGAAGATGTACCCGAAAAAGTCCTTTATTGAGTTCCAGAAGGATGAAGCATTGCTTCCCTCACTGGACGAGTCTGTACTACTGCCCCTAGTTTTCTGATTCTCAAACTTGCCCTCTGAACCTTTTGCAATGACAAATAGACATCAATGCATCAGAATAATCCTGGTAAACAACGACAAACTGCAAAGACATGGTTCACTAGGAGTTAAAACAAGCATAACAATTACCACTGCTGCCAACAGAAGTTGGATGGCATTTGGCCCTGAGTGAGGCTAATTTCTTCACAAGTTCCCGCTCCGCATCGCTGTAATCATAATTTACACATTAAGCTCCAGTAAAATGTGATTAAATTAAGAAATAAAGGAAAGTATGTGTGCAGTGGGTATACTTATGTCTAAAATAATATTTTGGTTAAAGCATCCGATAAGCAACTCTTACATCTTCAAAAATGCTATCGTGAATTGAGGAATGATTATCAATATTCACAGTTAATCAGATTTCTCTCTCCCTCATTCTTCAAATACAGAAAGTGCACTAGGTTTCCATGTAGTTAATTATCATATGCCTTTTTCCTTGCAATACAACAACTATTCTAATCTGAATTTTCCTTGCAATACAACAACTATTCTAATCTGAATTGTTCGAAGGTCTTCCTCACATCAGCATAATTATTCGACAGCGAAGAAAACCACTTGTAATGCATCATTCCTATCTCCTTCACAGTACGTACAACACAAACTAGCAAAAATTATAAAATCAAATCTAGCCACTTCAACTATCAATTCAAGAGACCAAACTGGTAGCTACTTCCGGATCTCATGCTAAGAAGAGGCTTTTGGTTGACCCTAAACTAGACCCCTCAGCTACTAGTATCAGACATCCGCATCGTGTTTGCAACTCTTGGCAAAGGCCCTGCTGAATTGCAAGGTACAATCAATCATATCTAGATGTTTTTTTGCTCTTAATCGTATCTAGATTGACCAGATGAACCACTACAATCACACACCCAAAGAGGGACCAATCTGGAACTTTTCCTGGTGGGGACAAATTTTTAATGATCAATTCAAAGTTTATAAATTTTAGTGATTCACAAAATTTACATAGTGATCTCTTACTCGTAGATATAGATTTGTGAGTATGATACTGAGTAAAATTTTGACTGCGTAGTAATTATATTATCATAACTGGAGAATGTCTATTTAGATTCTTCAATGTGGGGGCGAAATGAACAAAAAAGGAAAAATTGCTACTCCAAATTCTTTCATAAAAGTACTACGGGGGCATATGGAAAAAAGCTTGAAAAACATAATAGAATGATATCATATAAAAAAAGTTAGATTGCCCACATATATTAAGGTGAATTCATCCTTTGCATCCAACTCATTTTTGCAGAGGTAAAAGGACAAAAGTTTGCGGCCTTACTGCGCCTAATCATACAACCGGATCTGAAGGTAAGGATAAGTCAATTGAAAGACAAGACTGAAGACACAATTTGGTGTCTTGAATTTAGAACGTAAGCAGAAAAATAGTTTCAGGCACTTCTGTCTACAATCACTACTTTTTCCATAATGAAGGACCTCATAAAGAACTAATTCTTGAGCCCCATAGAAATCGAGATATAACAGAACTCACCTAAGATCTTTGGGGATCAGAACATTGACAATGAACTGATGATCACCTCTCAAAGTTGGTCTGTTGATGTCTGGAACACCCATTCCCGGTAACTTTACAGTTTCTCCAGGCTGAATTCCAGAAGGTATTTGAAGCTCCTTCAGACCAGCAACGGTATCAACCTGAAGTTAGATACCTACGTCAAACAACTGGCAAATGACTTCCATTTAGCAGTAAAATTGTTATAATTATGAAACCTTCCATATTAGAAAAATGAATACAGTACACAGATGAGCAAACTAATGCATTGTGGAGTAATGCCATTTTCAATTCATTTAATTGTCCATGGAGTAATTAGTTCCATATTTGGCAGTTCTTCCCCTGTTGCCTGATTCTAGAATCTAAAGATCTGCTTTCTTTCTTTTCCTCAAGTGAAGAACTTTTAAGAGTTGCCACATATAATTGCACATGCACATAGCAGACAACATAAAACTAGACTACTAGGCTTATTTGATAAAATGAAGTGTGTTGCAACTCTGGACAAGCAAATTCTCAAAACATATTAGTACCCACCTTTTGAAGGCAATGCATAGGTCTCAAATTACTCTTCTTCAAAAGCTAACCTGAACTAATCCATGGCATGTAGGTAAAACTGAACTTAGGGCAACAAGTTCCAGCCAAAGAAAGGAAATATTCATCAAACTAGTAATGATTAATTAGAGTAATAACAAGGCACCAATTAATTGATCAGAAATATCATGAAGATCCGTAGAAGTTGACAACAGCAGTACTTTTTGTACATGTACAATAGGCATAACCACGTACCTTTAATACTGTTCCGAGTATTGCAGCAGTAAAATCAACATTGATTTTTGAAAAGAGATTTATGCCATCTCTTTTGATTCCCTGCTTTTCATCTACATGGAGGTCTATGACAAGATCACCAGTTAAACCACTGGCAGATAGAAACAAGGAAGAGAAGAAATGAGTCAGTCCACACAGCTTACTGTAGAACCCATTCTCAAGATAAAACCTAAGTTTAAAATTATGTATTTATATTGACAAGGTAATTGCTATTATTTTAGGAGAATAGAGAGCGTGCATCCACACGAACATATATAGTGCTTGGTGTGCACAGATTCTTGACTTGGCAGTAATTATAATTGAACGAAGAACAAGCACATCCAGTGGGTGAAATGTGTAAGATATTTAATTCCCAAGAACAAGGAAATGGAGCTTCAAAATGCATTCATGACTATACAGGTAAGATGACATTTATTATTATTTTTTTTTGGTAAGACGCCACTAGTAAAATGCGTAATTTTTGTGCAAATTATATCTCCATGCTAGTTTCTCAATCTGACATCTGAGGCATTTGGCCTTGAAAATAATCTCCCCAAGCATAAAACTTCACTGAGGCGCTTACGGAATTACCTAACAAGGGAAAATCATTCCTCAAATGTGATAACATCCACAAAGTGAAGGCAAACTAAGCCACAACCATACAGGAAGTTCAAAATCATGACCACCTTCTCTTTTCCTCTGAACAAGACTGACTACAGTCCAAAGCCTCGAAGAGTTATGTTGTCTTGGACTGTGTGCTTGCTTGCGTTTTGTCAATTTCTTAGCAAAAATTTTCAAAACCTTCAAAAGATATTTTTTTCGTGCACTCAAGGACATGAGTTGTTAAGGTCTGATACAATTTATTTCTTTGTACATGCTAAGGCCTTGCCACCATAAAGGCAGGTAGATCTCAGTTATCTTTTTTGTCAAATAAACCAGGCAAATGTATTTGGGACGACTCTTCAAATAGCTTCCAACAACAGGTTTAATTAATTTGAGAAAACCCTTAAAACAATAACGCACCGTTTTTTATCGAAGTTTCCCTCCTTTGGCATTCGCATTCTGGATCCTTCATTAACTCCAGGTGGGATGACGATACTAATATTTCTCTTTGACATTATCTTGCCACTACCACCACACCTCCGGCAATTGTCAGTTACCATCTTACCATCACCACTACATTTGGAGCAAGTAGACACCTGGCAATCATCCAATAAACATGAAGAACATGCCAAAGAGATGTGAATCTAATGGTAAAATGATGGAAACTCTCACCCACGCCTATAATATAGTTGGAATCAAACGTAACTTGGTCAACTCTGTAGGATTACCATGTCTATCTTACGTCTAAGGATGTATTAATACTACCAAGGTATTCAAAAGCATAAGCAAAAGAAAACTGGCTGGCAGATAAAAATGCAATTAATGTTGGTCTTTGGAATCTACAGAAGTGAAGTGCGCTAACCAGATTTGGGCCCAGGTAACCTAAATAAAAGAGGACAAGAAAGTAATACCCATGAAACAAAAGTAGCGATAAGACGTTTCAACTACTATGTTCAAAGCCAAAGACCTCTCATTCGATACCACCTAAGTGGAATCATCACTTGAAGACCACTCAAGCAATAGTCCTCTCTATAGGAGAGTGTAACATCTCTCTAAGTATAACATCCTACAGGAGACAGAAAGATGTCTTTCAAGAGTCAATCTTCGCCATCAGAAGAATTCACATTGCTGGTTGCAGTTACAGCACAGTGACATCGACACCATCACGATGATGCATGTTCCATTATTAAACAACCATAATTAGAGTGGAAAACCGGTGTATCATCACAAGGAACTTAGAGAATGACTCTGGAAATTGAAAAATACAAAAAGCTCTTCGTGGTGACATTTACCTGAGACATCATACCAAAAGGAGTCCTCTGAGTTTTCATGATCCCACCTCTGCCTCCACAGGCATCACATTGCTTAATGCAGGTACTGGATTTAGCACCTGTTCCACCACATTGATCACACACTTCAGAAGACGAAACTTCAATTTCCCTCTGACCTCCAAAAATTGATTCTTCAAAGCTCAGGAACAGATCATACCTATAACGCAATAGACAAAAGAAATGAGAACTTTAAGTATTCATGAGGAAAACTTTAGTACAAGGTGATACTTTCTAGTTACCGTATATCAAGCGCATGTCTTCCTCCACTTCCTAAATTGAAGTTCAGGCCCCCTTGTTCACCCCTGTCTCCAAAAAGCTCCTCTGGTCCACCAAAAAATGCACCAAAGACTTCGAATGGATCCACCTAGAGAGAGAGAGAGAGAGAGAGAGAGAGAGAGAGAGAGAGAGAGAGAGAGAGAGAGAGAGAGAGAGTTCATCAGAGAAAAAAGGAGAAAGAAATATGCACATGGAAAAGGTTTTGTTAAATCAACCCCCATATCCAAGAGAGCCAAAAGTATGTAAAACAGATTGTTCCCTCAGGAAGATAGACAAGATTGTTTGTTGCTTAACTGGTTTGAAATTTCGAAGTCAGGGAAAATCTTACCCCCTGTGAACCACCACCTGAACCATCATATTCGCCTTGTAAACCCGCCTCTCCAAACTGATCATACATAGATCTTTTCTGTTCATCTGATAGGACCTGCACCAATGCACGCCGCACCGTCAGCTCAAGAAAGGAGGAAAATAAAGACGATACAATGACAGAGCAAATGCATCATGAACGATAAAAAAAAAATTCGGTAGTAACTGGTCCCGGAAGAGTATAAACTTTCACAACCATAAGTTCATCAAGTGGGCAAGTAATTCCAGAAACGAATATCCAAATTCTACAAAAATAAACAACTAAAAACACTGGCAACCGAAGCAAGATCCTGAGAACTGGAGAAGCTACCTCGTACGCAGCGCTTATCTCCTTAAACTTGTCTTCCGCCCCAGGTCCCTTGTTCATGTCCGGATGGTACTGCTCAAAGACCACAACAGACCGAAAACGAAACGATCAATGAAATTTCGCAAGCCAATCCGGTAGGCATCCTATATTCCCATCACAAACACCAATCTACTTAAATGACAACCAAATTTCAAATCAGAATCATCCCATTTCATCTCTAACAAAGCCATCCCACATCACTCTAGAGCAGCATCATCCACCTCTGGTCCTTCCATTTCGCAAGCGCGGGAGCACGGGCGTAGCATAAAGCATAAAACGACGTGAATTTCGACGCGGATTATACCTCACCTTACGGGCGAGCTTGCGGTACGAGCTCTTGATCTCGTGCAAGGTGGCGTTGCGGCCGACGCCCAGCGTCGAGTAGTAGTCCTTCCTCGCGGCGCGGATGGCGGCGCCGCGGCTCCGCCGCCCCTTGCGAGCGGGAGGAGGACGAAAGCTGTGGCCGAGCTGGGTTCCGGAGAACTTCGCGCCCGAGAGCTCGGAGCCGGACGAAGCCCGGAAGGAAGAGCAGGCCGCGATCGGGAATGGAGGGAGATTGTAGGCGACGGGCATTTTTCAGCGTGGATGGAAATGAGGCATGCAAGGTGTTCGACGAAATGACGTGAACGGAGACGGGGGGGGGTCGACGGTGGAGGGGTTTTTGCCCCGGGGTTTTGGGATTTGTCTTAACGCGAGAAGAGAGCTCTGCAGCTACGAAACCCCGCTCGGCAGGTTCGGGCCCAAATCACGGAAATTTTTGCAAGGGAAAAGTATAATAAATATTTTAATTGGACCGATTTAGCGTTAAATATTTTCACATTTATACCACTTCGGTCCATTTGATCAATTTAAACAAAAAATTACTAACATCGGTGGTCCTACGTGATATGGCCAGCACTGACGTAGATATATTTAATATATTTTTTAAATTTTTTTCCTTTTTTTTTTCTTTCCCTTTTTTCTGCCGGTGGTCGACACATCAGCGTCGGCTGGCCATTGCCGGCCACTGGCGGAAAGAGAAGGGAAGAAAAAAAATAAAAAAATAATTAGAAATGTCCACATCAGCTTTAGCCATGCCATGTGGGACGATTGCGTTCGCCTTAGCAATTTTCTGCCTAAATTGACCGGATAGACTGAATTGATATCAATGTAAAAAAATTTAGGACTAAATTGGTTCAATTGAAAGATTTGGGACTGAGATTGATACCGATATAATAGGTTTAGGACCTTTTCTTTTGTACTTTTCCCTTTGACCCAATATGTCTTTAATCGTGATCGCGAGGCCTATGTAGCAATTTACGATGTAACCCACAAAATCCATGATTGTCATTCGCTGGATCCGTCGTGGACCGTGTCCGAGGCATGAGTTCTCTCGACGCCGGAGACTTCCCTAACTCGTCGCCCCACTCGTCGCCAACATTTTAGAGTCCTCTTATTCTCCCATTTTTGCAAACTATATAGTCGTATTCGCAAATGCAATTCGATTTAATGATCTTAAGAGCTCGTACGCCTTACATTCTTTTCTAGCTACTCCTACTTGTAACAAGTTCCCAAATCCGACAATAGACTTGTCGGATTTTCCGAGTTACGCCATCAAAGGGTTTATCAAGAAACGGTTCGCACTCTTTTCAGTAGTCTCTTACCTTCCTCACTTGACTTTCTCCTTGACTTGAGAGGGAGAGGATCTTCTCAGTTAGCCATGAAAACAGAAACTAGAACAGGAGAAGTTCAGGAACAAGAAAGTTTGGAAAGGATGAAACAAGCTAAACATCGAATTTGAGTTGCCGAGCGTGGTTGGTGGGAGTTTTAAGAAGAGAGATTCCGGTCGACCAGAAGCTAGCAATAGTGAAACAACAACAGCAGAAAGAGAATTCCATTGATAATAGATCATGATAAATTATGAAAACAACAGACGCAAAGTCACAGATCGCCTCACAAAATTGAGTCGGCACACCTCCGCTCCAAAACTCGTTGCCTTCCATCAGGTTAATCCCGGCCAAGAGAGGTGCTACTTGTTAGTGCCTAGCAGCACTTCGGGAGGTCACTGACGCTTCCTCCACTTCAATAGCCGACATGAGTCACCTATGTTGTTAGCTTCCATGGAACTTTAACTCTGGCCTTCCAGAAGACATAACAATAAATATCATGGAGGAAATTCCTCTTTATCAGATAAGCCGCTCATGAGATTGATTGAGCTATGGGCGCCATGTTTTCAAGATCCAGCAGTTGGAAAAAATTATAATCAACAGGCTTGAGCCACCAAAACCCTCTGAACATGGGAAAGCAAGTTGCCTCATTTAGCCTCGACTAACATAGATGCTTCCTCGAAAGAATTTGAATAGAATGGTGAAAGTGCGACAACTTTTCCAATGATGATCAATGTGGGTGAGACCAACTTCTCAGCAGATATTTTGTCAGCAAGATCCTTCAGTTCAGCAAAAACCTGATGATTAATGGAGGACAGTCAGGCATTTGCTCCAACAGTATGCAATTGCAAGAAATACTTTAAACCCACATGATTACATGCAAATTTGAGTACCACACATGATAGCTTGCCAAAGATCTGGAGGTAAAAAGAAGATCATGGAAGACTAATGACTTCAAAACACAGGTTATTATTGGTAGCCTTGCCCTAAAGGCTCGAGAAGTTATTGAACAGTGAATATACAGATTCTTTCTTCAATGTACAGCAACTACAGTTATGATAACTCACCCAGCGCAGGGAAGACAACTCATTGAGGAAAAAAGCCTACTATCTGGTTACACATAAAACATGATGCCATACCTCTTAAAACATATGCAGCATCATTAATTTGGTTAAAACATCCGATTGAAGATTTGATGGTCAACTTGAGATGCATTTGTCCACTAAGTTTTCTTACTTGGATTGATCAAACCAAGATGGAGCTTTCATGCCATTTTATCAATTTAGCCGGATGAAAAGCTTTTAATTCCATGTGGCATCCAATTGCTTCAGACTGAATCACGCAGCATGTTTCCATAAAGAATTACTACCACGTTTGCTATCACTAATTCACAGATACTACTCTCATTTGCCCTCGACATATATACTCATAAACATATATGAATGAGATATTAGCTTACCACACGTTGTTGGGGGGTGGTTCCACGCTCAACTGCAGCAGCTGGTGTACTTGGCGGCAAACCATGATCCATTAACTTCTGTGCAAGAGAAGGGAGAGTGGAGAGACCCATATAAACCACCAAAGTAGAATCAGGATCCGCTGCATTTTCTGCTACAAACAGAGGATCCGTTCCACCTTTCCTCGAATGTCCCGTGAGGAATCTAACACTGTTTGACACACCTCTATGAGTCAATGGGACTCCCAGCTCCGCCGCTATTCCTGAAGCAGCAGTTATGCCTGGAACATCGAGAGACAAGGAGTTCAATATCTTCCACAAGGCTAACACTTCCTTTGCCTTTTCGGAGCCAAAGTATTTATATGCAAAAGAACATCATGAACAGGCCAACGACCAAGTGGGAATCAACAACCGGGTTAAAAAATTCCACGAGTTAGGTGCATTCTCATTGAAGGCTCATCTTCACCTGGTATGACTTGCACTCGAATGCTTTGCTGTTGCAGGAAGTCCATCTCCTCCCCACCTCTCCCAAATACCTACGCAAACCATGTTCAACAGTCGCGCCGATCAAATACAAATCGGAACAAATGAACATTCCAAGTAAACATCAAAAGAACTGCAGATTAATTCGATCTTCAATTCAGCGAAATACACTCACCAGAGGGTCACCTCCCTTGAGTCTAACAACAGTAGCCCCGGCCTCCGCGAAATTGAGAAGCAACTCGTGTATCTCCTCCTGCCCACACAAGTACCGAAAAAGAATCACACCACCTTTCACAGCCCAACAATACATTCACCAAAAATCAAACACGTGGAGGACAAAAAAAAGTAAGCTCGTCAACTTCCGTAATAACCGACTCCCAGACAACACTAATCAAAGCAAAAACACCGGCCCAATTCTTCCTCAAAATCTGACAGAACACAGAAACCGAAGCAGGCGCGACGGGAAGTAGATTCATGTACCTGAGTGCGGCTGTGGTACCCGGCAGTCTTCCCCACGTAGAGCAGCCTCGCGCCGGGGCCGACCAACTCCAGCACGTCGTTCGACACCAGCCGGTCGTAGAGCAACAAATCGGCGCCCCTGATGACCCGGACCGCCTTCAGGGTCAGCAGCTCGGGATCGCCCGGCCCCGTCCCCACCAAGTAGACGTTCCCGGGCCCACATTTCTCGCCGCCGCCGCCGCATGCGCGCTCCCTCCTGTCCTTGAGCACCCGGAGCAGGTTCCTCAGCTCCGGCAGCTGGAGGGCGATGTCGTCCCGCCTGAGGGAGTCGGGATCGGACGCTGCGGCGGAGCCGCCGGAGGAGGGGAGTGGAGGCTGGCAGGGGGAGTCGGCGTAGAGCCACCGGTCGCGGCGGTACCTCTCCGGCGAGTGCTTCTCGGTGAACGGCGAGGAAGGAGCTGGAGGAGGAGGAGGAGGAGGGGTGTAGTGGAGGGAGCAGATGCGGGGCGGTCGAGCGCGGGAGGAGGAGGAGGAGGAGGAGGAGGAGGAGGAGCTCCGACGGAGGCGAGGTGAAGCGGCCGCGGAGGAGGAAGCGAGCCTGCTGACGAGAGCCATTGCAGTCGCCGAGAGAGAGAGAGAGAGAGAGCGCGAGGGGTTCGATGAATGGAGACGGGAATGTATATAAAGTTCGGAGCTTTTTTGTAGCTCCCGGAACCACAACCGTTGGGAGGGGGGTAGGAAAGAGAGAGCAGAAGAAGCTCTGCTCTTTTGGGGAAGACGAGAAGGCGAAATCAGCTTTTGGGGTTCCCTGAAAATCTATATATAATAACAATCATAGATTGGACATTTGTCTCTTGGAGGCTCTCGCGGGTCTTCTCTTTTTCTAGATTTCTTCGATTTACCGAGAAATTGTTTCTCAATAAATATAATAAGATTCATATGTATATATAAAGATGGTATAGAGCGAGTCATGTGGGAAGGCTTCGGCTCGTATTTTAAATAAGGTTATATATTCGCTACGGATTAATAGCCAGTTGAATCATTTCATTTGTCTTAAGGACTCTTAATACAAGTAGTATCGGCGGTGATCTCGTTAATGTCATTTCGGGGACTTACGATGTCTTGTTTATGTTATTACGTTATGTGATATTTGAAAGGCGAGCGAAGAATTACTACATAACTTTTAATTTTTGCACACCGAATGCACCGCGAATAAATGGGAGACGAACCAACTGTAATCGAAAGGTTGAAAATCATGTTCGCTAGTTACGACGATATCGGAAGAGAAGAGACATCGAAGACAAAAAAAACACTGGAGAGATCGAGTAGAAAGGCTTGTGTTTTTTCGAGGTTTCATTTTTTTTCATTTCCAAGTTTTACCTGATTTTGACGGAGGGCGTGATTCGCTGGAGTCGTGCTCATGGTAAGCCGTGATTTGACGGACCTACGTGTCTGCTGATGAAGGGGTCGGATCCTGTCAGATCACACGTGTCGCGAAACTATTGGTAACTCCACCGAATCGAGCCGAAGCGCGAGTGTAGGGGAAGAAACGTCGACGGCTGAACAACGGCGGCTATGGGGAAGTTGACTATGGTTTGACCGCGGACAACCAACAGGGGAGGCTTATATGGTACTTTGTCAATTGTCATCGCATTATCATCATAAATTTTTTTTTGTGGAAATTATCATAAATACTTCTTAGGCAATTATAATTTATTTATTTGCGATTCAATGTTGATCAATTCCGAAAGGTCGATTTCCGAAGAAGTTATAAAAAAAAGTAGTATTTTTGAGTTGGACAATACCGATTTTGATCGTGTGTCCTATTCTTTTTTCCTTCTACGAAATTGGAGAAGAGATTCGATTTTGCAAGCAAAGAAGCATTTCCCCTTTTCCCCATTTTCCCACAAATCAAGGTGCAGAATGTGACCGGCGCGTTGATCAAGCCAAATGGTATGACGAGGAACTCGTATGACCCGTATCGTGTCACGCATGCGGTCTTCAGCTCATCCCCTTCGGCGATCCGTACTTGGTAGTAACCCGATCGAAGATCAAACTTGGTGAACTAACAAGCTTCCCCAAACTGATCGAATAAGTCTACAATGAGGGAATCGGATACTTGTTCTTTGTGGTGAGCTTGTTTAATGCCCAGTAATCAATGCACATACCTGTCGTGCTTCTTCTAAAATAGTACCGAGACGCCAAACGGAGCTTTGGGCGGTCGAATGTACCCCGCATCGAGTAGCTCCTTGAGTTGCTTCCGTAATTCCTCCAACTCGGGCGGGGCCATGTGATAGGGCGCCATGGTCGGTGGTCGAGCATGGGGCACCAGCTCGATTTTATGATCCACCTCTCTTCGAGGCGGCAGCTTGGGCGGCATCACATCTTGAAACGTGTCGAGGATGTGGGCCATCTCGGTTGGGACTTCACTCTCATTGCCCTTGCCCTCGTCATCCTCGACCTTCAAGATTGTTAAGAAGGTCACCTCGCCCTTGTTCACTCCCTTCTTGAGCTGCATAGCCGAGAGTATCTTCCGATCGTGTCCCGACTCGCGATGGATCGGGACCACGCATTGGCATCGCACGTCCAGAATACATATACAATTCGCAAAGGGCATTACGCCCACATTTATATGATCAAGGAATCTCAAACCCAGCACAAGATCATAATCATCAAGGGAGATTACCTTGATGTCTTCCTTGTTGATCCATGGACCAAGCTGGAGCTCTATGTCCCTAGCCACACCGCTAGTCGGGATCTCTTTGGAGTTCACTGTTTTGAGCCACTCGGCTCCTCCTTTCTCGACCCGAAAATTTAGCTTTTTCGCAACCTCTTGGGATATGAAGAGGTCAGACGCACTGGTATTCACGAGCGCACTCATCGTGGTACTCCTGATCTTCACGTCCATGAACATCATTCCTTTGGACTCTTTGGTCTTCTTGGCCTTAATGGAACTAAGGATTCGCAGTGAACCCAACCGCGCCTCCTCTCGCGGCTTATCTTCTTTGTATAGGGCCACCAACTTGCCTTTCTTAGGACACTCCCGAGTCATGTGTGACCCATCACAAAAGAAGCACTTAAAGGTGTATACCTTTTGTTGTCCCCAATTGCTCGACTCCGATTGGGCCCTAGGTGGTGCCGGTGTTGGCTTGCCTCCATTCGGACGTTTGTATTTGTTCCGATCTCCCCCACCATTGGCCCTATCCCTTAGACAAAAGTCGGGCTTGGCTGTGAATAAAGCTTTAGGTTCCTCTAAGGACTCTGCCACGGAAGTGGCCGTCGTGAGATCTTTCACGTTGCACCGTTTGAGCTCTTGTTTGGCCCATGGCTTGAGGCCACTCAATAACTGGTGGTATGCCTTCGTGTCATTCATTGACGGGATCTGTAGTAACAACTCCGAGAACTGCTTCACATACTCGATGACGGTGCTATTTTGTTCAAGGCGCTTGAGCTAGTCACAAGCTTCCTCCTCCGCATTGGTGGGATAATAGTTCCGCCGAAATTCATCGACAAACTTGGCCTAGGTCGTGATAAGGTCGCCGCTCCTATCATCTGACCCGTGACGCCATCACAGCAAAACATTATCAGCTAAATACATTGCTGTCGTGTTTACCTTGGTCGTGTTGTCGTTCATTTCCGTGGCCTAGAAGTACCGCTCCATGTACCACAGGAAGTTGTCACGTCTTTGGCCACCCGCAAGCCTTTGAACTTTCTTGGCTTGGGTGCGTCCATACGTGGTTGCATGGTGATCACCCTATTCATGCGTGCTGCTTCTACCTCCGTGAGCTTTTCCTTGAGCTCGGTAATCTTCGCGCACATGGCCACCATCGCGACCTCTCAGGTGTCATCCCGCTGCTGCAGCTCGTGAGTCACTGGCCCCAACACCTCATCGCGGAGCTCTCCCATGCCGGCTTTGAGCTCTTGCATTTCGGCCAAGAGCTCCTCCCTTCTGGCTTCCACTCCTTCGTCAGTCTGTTGTAGGTCATCAACCATCCCTTGGACGTCCATGACAATTCCCTCTAATGTCGTCATTCGACGTTCCAAATCACCCATTTGATCCCTCGAGCTGGAGGCAGCACGACTCCTCCTGGTTTGGACGCCGACTCTCTCAGTTGCCCTTCCACGGTCCTCGCAGTCCTCACCTTGGACATTCGCGACACTGGAACATGGGTCAGCCATTGTGCTAGGTACGAAGGCTCTAATACCACTTATCATGGGTTGATTGATTTCACAACAATCCCACACCCGCGCGGCCTTAGGATCACTCTCAAGTTAGCCTTGCACACACACACACACACACACACTCGATTCACAAAAATGGAGAGAAAGCAGTGTAGTTGTATTTCTTGCAAATGAGTTTGTTTAAATGAAGGGGGAGGGTCCCCTATATATACAAGTGCGGATCTAATCTAATCCGTTGATCCCCTAATGATCCAACGATGGTGTTTGAACCGATACAATTATTACATAGCTACTCAAGAAGTTCCAGAGGCCCTGAGGGCGTGGGGAAGCTAAAGGGACGCCTGCCAAGGGAAGCTGCATGGTTGTTTATCAGAGGCAACTGAAGAGTCACGGATGATACTCGCATCTAGTCACGGATGGGTCACGTCCCGTGCATGGATAGGCCACGTCCCATGCACCTAAGGGGCCACGTCTCGTTCACAGACGGGCTCGGAACCCTTCTCTCCCTTGGGCCGTGTCACTAGTCTCTTGCATGTCCTTTCAATGGCTTAGTTGATTACTGTTTTTGTCGGGAAATCTGGGAATGCAAGGCCAATATCAGTTGGGGCTCAAAGCTAATCACTCTACTGATAGGGGTGGTGATGACAAAGTTAGAAAAATAGAGGAACCTATTTGGGTTCGTCTGTCCATGAATTTCATTGGCTGCACTGAGATTATACTTACACCCGACCAAAACCGAGGGCGGATAGATCAGAATGTCGTTGATTTTGTGAATTTCATTGGCTTAGTTGATTCGATCAACTAAATTTCATTGGTATTTTCACTTTTATTTATTTATAATTGGGTTTCATTTACGGTTGTCGTTATTATTATTATTATTTATAATTGGGGTTTTATTTTTTATTTATTTCAGTGATGCAATTGTAACGTGCTCAAGTAGAGGAGGGATACAGAATGGATGCTAGCGACATCCGAGAGGTTCATTCTCGTTGCTTTTCGTTCCATCAGCATCTTCTTCAATAAAATAGCTACTCAACCACCAATGCTTAGCTTCTCGAGTTTATGTAAATGTACCTCATAGAGTTCCCTTTTCTATTAATAATCTAAAACGAAATAGTCTTCAAAGAGGAGAGACAAATGCCAAGGACTTCGGATGATAGGTGCAATGATGCCACTTCTATTGTCTATGGCAGGTTGGAGAAGAAAAACTGGTACTAAGTATTGGTCAAGCAAGCTATTCAAAATCCAGATGCAAAGCCACATGTTCATGATCTGCTTCTATCTTAGGCGCTTTCTTGAAGTGTGCAATTGCCAAGTCTAGCTTTGAGAAGAACAAGAGTGTCTTAAGGATTCGGAGATACACCGAATGTAAGAAAAGACATGAAAAGAAACGACAACATAGAATCGCCGGCTATCCTTATTTCGGAAAAGGAACATAAAGACAACAAAGAAAATCGGACATATGTCCGTCGCCGTGATTGCCGCCGCCGCCGCAGCATAAATAGTG